GTGAAGGGTTGGAATAGGAATCTACTTTAGTGTTGTTTGATGTTTTTTGTTGGCCTATAACATAAGAAAAGGAAATAATAGGACAAGATGAGAATATATTTCAAATACTTTAAGGGGGAGTGAGTACATATCACTGTGTACCTGTGCTGATTTTATCTTCTTCAAAGATAAGAGGATGTTTTTCTGGCCTGCAAGGAAATGATCTGAACCCAATTTCTTCATCAAATGAACCGAAAGTTGAAGCATCTTATGATTTACAGTCCTGCCTCCTAAAAGACAGAGGAAGGAAATGTGCCCCCCTCTTCCTTTGATTTCTTAGAAACAGCCTGTCTCTTGCCTTCCTCGGTGGGGTTCACATCTGTCACCACACCTACTGAACCAAACGATGAGAAAGTCACCGTGATTGAAGTGATGCGGAAGGTTTCGCTCCTCTCAGTCTGGGTGTTAACATGTCAGGATAGCGGCGCAGCAGCACGAGCACACTGGGAGCCAATCAGCGCTCGGTGCGCCGGTTTCACTCCTGATTCTCTGTCCCTGCCTACGGGTCCGCGCGCGCGCGTGCGTGCGTGCGGCCGTATGTGTCTGAGTGAATCTGTCTGAATGTCAGCCCCCCCACCCACACATGCTCAGTCAAAATAAAGCGCCGATCATGAGCGATTTCTTTCCAGTCACTCTCCACCTTTCAGCAAACCCACTCGTGTTTAAGATAAGAAGCTCCGTCCGGGAGCTCAGAGCGCGTTTGGTCCAGAGGATGATGGATGTGGAGGGCGGCCGGGCGGTGCGACGGAGCAGGGGAACCGGGAGGCTGGCGGTGATGGTGGCCGTGCTGAACCTGCTGGTGGTGACCTGCATGCTGGTCACCTTCTACATCTACATGAAGCCAGTTATGGTGAGTACATTTATTTCATCTGTGAGAAAAGATGAAAGTATCTTTATTCTCATTAAGATAAGCCAAAGAAATTCATCTGCAAAGAATAAGTTGCCAAAACAGGATTCTTCTGATAATAAATATCTGATTACAAAGAAGCAATTTAAATGTCAGGCATTTATGTTTAAAAAAAGAGTATACTGCCTTATTGCTAAAGTTGTGTCTAAATAATATTTTTGAAAACTATTTAAAGTTTTTTCTTCAGTTCAACATGATCATTTTGTGAAACTTACACATCTTCCAGTACTTCTAGCATTTCTTTCATGTTTTTTGCAGGTTTTGAATACATTTCATCCATTTTCATAAATAATGCTTTACATAAGTCAGTTTTAGTGCATTTTTTTTTGTGGTTAAAGAGATAACAATATAGGAGGCTCCATGCAGCACATGTTTCCATCAGATTACTCTGGTGTGATACTGTGATGCCCTTTCACTCAGATATCTGCAACCTGCACAATGTGGATATGATTGGGATTTAGAGAGTTTCTGATAGGAAATATGGGATAGATTCAAAATGAGGCTGTTTTTATGCCACCACTGAGCTGAACTTAACCTCTGACAAAAACACACAAAAGTAAATAACTTATAGCCTCACAGCTATTAGATTTAAGTAGAAACTTTTGGTACGTCTGTAAAGGTAAGATGTCATAGAATGGTTTTCTGGTGTCAGCACCATTGTAGCTTTGACCCTGCCTGAAATATTAGGGACAAAATACAAAATATTTTGCATTTTTTGAACCTCGCCAAAATTTTCTTTGAAATAAACATTGCAAAACACTACCAAAATATTATTTATAGCACAAAAAAGTAGTACAGACTTTTAAATCTAAACGTTGTGTAAAAATATACCAAATTTGGACTCAATCAGATGAATCATATTTATTTTAGAATGGTATTAGTGAGAAATTTCTTAGGCGGAGAGGCCATTTTGGCACATTTATCCATAAATGTCACCAAACTGTGCCAAATGTGTTTTTTACATCAATACTGGGGGTTTGTTAAAATTACGAGGTCATGTAGCAGCTGGACCCACCGGTGGGTCGGTAGGGTTCTAGGGGTTAAAGAGAAGGTCTTTTGCACACAAGATCTCCAAGATGTAAGACATATAGAGTTGAAATTTGCAGCAAGCTCATATAATAAGGGATGGGTGTTATTCTGCATCTGTAAATGAAATGAATGACTGGAGTTTGTTTTATAGGCATGACAATTAGCAGCTGAAGGCATGTTTACCCTCATCCACGGGTGATTGTTGATCTATTGCTGATCTGCACAGTTAAAGTTTAATGACTAACATTTGTTCTACTTTTAGAGTGTGCTGTTGATTTGTGATATGCTGTTTTCACTACTGGTATTAATCACCCACTGTGAGATTTTCCCTGGTTTCTGTCAACATGTCTGTTTTCACACTGCATCACTTAACCACGGTATCAAACAAACAAGCTTGATGTTCGTTCTCTCCTTCCCTGAGATGAACATCAAGGGATGCACTGAGTCGGGCTGCGTGACCTTTTTTTTTTTTTTTTTTGCACTTCTCAGTGAGCTACATTTCTAATGTTAGTCATACTGGCAGTGAGGGACAGCTAACATGAGGAGACCTGTGTAAACAGCAGACAAATGCCATGTTTTTCTAATATGTCTGTTTGTCTCTAAACAGCCAGAAGATGATGTGTACATACTCTTTGAAGAACTCAGAGGTGAGAATATTAAATTAGTTTCTGATTATTATTGTTGTTGTTGTTTTTTTCCACCTTTCCTCCAGGTCTAACTGTGTAAACTTTCCCCTTTCAGGGCTCAGCTCCAACATGTCTCTGGAGTTCAGCGACGACGCCATCTCATACAAACATAGGATGACAAACGACAAAGGCAACATCAGCGTAAGCTGCAGAGGGCCGTATGTTTGGCATATATATGTGTGCTATGAAGCAATGAGAGTAGAGAGGACCAGCGGGACTCTGGAGCTGAAGGTGAAAAACACATCTGTTAGCTCTTTCAAAATGGATGCAACTAAGGAAGTTGTCTGCAGGGGGCTCCACAGCATTGTCTATCTCATGGAAGGAGACGTGGTCAGTTCACACTTGTATTCATCAATGGAATTTCGCATAAAGAGCGTCAGAATGGGTCTGAGTTATCTGCTTGGAAATAAGTGTATATATTGATGACGTCAAGAAAACTGCTGATGAACTGAAGACCAGAGCTGGATGGATGAAGGGATGAGCGCCTATCTGAGGTCACCTGGGCCAGTGATGAAGAACCAATCAGAGAGGGCTTGGCTTTTGTTAGGATCAATCCATCACTTCTTTCTACAGGCCTGATAAAAGCATGAAAAGCCTTCTGACGACATTTAAAAGAAGTTTGACTGAATTTACACCAACCTACTGAGGCATTCTGTCCGTCAAATATGAAATCCTTGTTAAATAGTTTTTGACGGAGTCCCTGAATTAGCAGAACTCCAAAAGCCACAGGTCGCTTTGTCACCAAATGAAATCCATTCAGTTTTTTTTTCTTTGTTTAAAACAGAAATTTCTGGTGGAGCGGGAACAGGAAAGTCCAGTTTAGCATTAGCTGATGTACCTGTAGGCTTTCCAACAGGTGCTAAAAACAGGAGAGTCTCACCTGGTAGGTGGGTTTATAACAGAGTAAAGTGTTGAAAAGCACCCTGGGGAAGAGGCTGCTCTAAGTGATTATATTTGACCAGAATTTGGATTTTTTTGCCACTTTAGAAGATCTTACCAGGAAAAAATGTATTTTTCTTTTTTTTACCAAACCAAATAACGATTTGGTTTGTCTTTCTTCCACTGCTGTTGGGCCTTTAACGTTGCCATCTGAAGTTCTGTCCCTTTTAAATTCATATTTATCAGGGCAAGATATTTCAAAACGACTCTTAGAGTTTATTACCTCTGCCAGAATCGCTGTACCTCATGGTTTACTGTCAGCAGGAAGTCTGTGTGTGCAAGAAAAAAAAAAAGTCTTGTTGATTGTACTTATTTCTTGATTGTACTTATCCACTCTTATTTTGTAATTTTGAAGATGTTATGTTATTTTACCTCCTTACAAGTGCCTTGTTCTGTTTTTTTTTATAATGTTTCTTGGTTCTATTTTTTATCATTTATATTTAAAGGGCTGAAAAACAAGTTATAAAGCTAATATTTCCTAATTTATCATCCATTTTTTTATTAATATTATTACTATTTAATTTCAAACCTAAAGCGAAGAATGTCAAAGTTTCTTGGTGCTGTGGTGACAGTTTCATGTCACTTTACTTGCATGAATAACAATCTGATGTTGTTAAGCTAAGAAAAATCATTTCAAATGCTGGAATCAACTTGTTTTTTTGGTGTTTTTGCTTTAGTGCCGAATAATAACTGACCTACGGTTTATTTCTTCAAAAACATCAAACAGCAGTGCTATCTGCCTTCGCAGCTGGATGCTATATGGAAGCTTATGTTGATTGTGAGCAGATTTAACACCTCTGCCATTTTTAGGTGCTGCCTAGTTATACGATACACCTGTCTTGTAAAC